TTTTCTCATACCGGGAATCGAACTCACGACCTTGCGCTTGCCTGGCAGGCACTGTGCCACTGAGCTAAATCCCCAGCCCCAGATGTGCCTCTTTTGTAAGGTCCAGTCCAAGCTTCTGAACCACAGCAAGCCCTGTCCTAACTGGTTTTGTTCTACCAGTGCCTCGCAAGCAGCAGGCACCGATGAGTGCACGACTGACCCCTGTAGCTCACCGATGGTGAAGAACGTCAGGATGATGCTGCCGACCAGGTTGGTCAGGAGAGGCTGACTGCAGTATCGAGACGACCGGGGCCTAGAAATCAAAGTGCTGGCTGGCATTTGATTCCTTCCTTACCACAAGAATCCTCTACAGAAGTCATTGCTGGATGATGCCAGCCATGAATTCTAATCCTACGTCTGGCACTAGGCTCGCCTTGGCTCTGGGCAATTCACTTCAGAGAACTTTGGTAATAGTAATGGTTATTCCAGGACTTGGGAGGCTGAGGCAGGAGGATTGCCACGAGTTCGAGGCGAGCCTGGGCTACATAGTGAGTTCAAGACTAGCCTGAACTACATAGTGAGACCCTGTCTCAAAAAATTAAAGAAAAAAAAGAGAGAGGGTCTCACTGTGCGGTTCAGGCTGGCTTTGAACTCACTATGTAGACCAGGCTGATCTTGAACTCGCAACAATCCTCCTGCCTCAGCCTCCCAAGTGCTGGCATTACAGGCAAGTACCACCACGCCCAGCTAAGACTCTTGTCTCAAAAGAAAAAAATTTTTTCTCCACATGTGCAGGACCAAATTTTTAAATTTTAAGTCCGTCAGGTTGTTCTTGCTTCCTGTGCTCGGTGACAAAGCGCTCACTGGCTGCTCTGCCCAGAGCAGAACGTGCAGCAGCTCGGCGAGAGGTTACCCGCTCGCGTGTGCCCTGTGGTCCCCAGCCCCGCAGACATTAGCTAAGCTAGAGCGCGGGTCTCTAGAGAAACCCGCAGCAGACACGTGCGGCCCTGTCCCCCGTGTCGCGGCTGCTGGGACTAGAAGCGCAGATCGGCAGGGGCACTCAGTCGGCCCCGACGGCGGCTGTCACCATGTGTTGACACTGTCGACTCCAAAGCGGTGGGCAGGTGGCACGGGGGTGCCGGAGACAGCCGGGCAGCCACAGCGAGCCGCAGAGCCGGCCTCCCAGGGAGGACCCGAGACCCCACCATAGGTGAGGCCCGCCACTGGGGCACGGGAGGGACTAACCTCAGCAGCACGAAGACCTGGAGGGCCACTGCGCTGAGCCCAAGTGCGAACACGGTGACCTGCCTGCATGGGACACAGTGAGTGACACTGGATGTTACTTGTCATAAAATGACTTCATGAGCCACACCTGTGGTGCACACTCTAATCCTAGCGCTTGGGAGGCTGAGGCAGGAGGATTCCCCTGAGTCTTCGAGGCCAGCCTGGGCTATACAGCAAGACCTTGTCTCAGAAAAACAAAACAGAACAAAACAAAACTGATGCAGTGTTCACAAAATGTTACATGACAGCTTATATCTCAGTGGTTTTTTGTTTGTTTTTGTCTTTTTGAGACAGGGCCTTGCTATGCACTTCAGGCTGGCTTTGAACTCACTTTATAGCCCACACTGGGCTCGAACTTGCAATGATCCTCCTGCCTCAGCCTCCCCAGTGCTGGGATTACAGGTGTGCACCAGCACCCCCAGTTTTAATATTTTTAAAGCTTGAAAAGATCTGCCATTTAAGAATTAGAAGTCCAAAAAGTGAGAATCAGTAGTAAATGTAGTTGAGCTGGAGCCTCCACAGGGAGACGTGAACTCCTTTTTGTTGTGCCAGGGAAGGATACTTACAGCCTGACCCGATGCGGCCTCGGCAGCCGGCAGTGCGCGGCGCGGTAGGCCGTGTGGGCCAGACAGAAGTGAATCATGGTGCCGCCCGCCGGGACCCCTGGCCCCTGCTGCTGCGCGCTCCTCCTCGCCTCCTCTGCTGTGGACGCCCGGGGAACCTGAGCTGGGGCTTTGAGACGGGCACTGCCCATGACACGGGACAAAGACAGATCGGTTTCCCCAGGTGGCTCGGAAACCGGAGCCCGCTGCCCCCCTCGGGGAGGGGCCAGAGGTCTTGAGCCGTCTCTGTTTGCATTGAGTTTCAGGACCAAGTGATCGGGAGCGCGCATGCGGCTGTCCCTTCCTTTACTTCCCAGCTGCAGCGTCCCCTGATGCCCACGCAGTGCCCGGGCCGGAGCCGGCCTTGAGCCTTGTTGCCGCCCCTGCCAACTCAGGCAGGCAGCAGGGCCTTACGTGTTACCCGGTGCCAGGCGGGGTGTGGGTGCCCGGCGAGTGTCGGCCCGGAGCCTGTCCCTGGGGGCTGCAGCGTGTGCTGAGCACGCGGAGGCCCGGGTGTCACTGCCCAGCGCCAAAACCAAAAGGAAACGTACCTGAGAGTAGCTGAGATTGCTTCAGTCCCTGCCCCATTTTACAGATGAGGGTGCTGAAGACATTGTGGTAACTGGACCAGGGTTAAAGTAAGAAGTTGAAACCTCCATGTCACAGTATTTTTCAAGAGGCTGCTTTTTGTTTGTGTGTGTGTGTGTGTGTGTTGTGCTGGGGATTGAGCTTGGAGCCTTTACACTGATCTACGTCCTCCACCCTTATAATTTATTTTGAGGCAGGATCTCACTGAATCACTGAGCTGCTCAGCCTGGGTTCAAACTTGGTTTTTTTTGTTTTTTTTTTTTTTTTTTTTGGTACTGGAAATCGAACTCAGGACCTTGTGCTTACCAGGCAGGCACTTATGCCACTGAGCTATATCCCCAGCCCTGGGTTCAAACTTGTGATCTTCCTGCCTCAGCCTCCCAGGCCTGCACTGCTATGCCCTGAACCCAGCCCTTTTTTGTCTTCTGGGGCCGAGTGAAGCTCCGGCTCCCTGCCTGTCCTCCAGCACTCACTGGGCCACATTGGGCCGTTCAGCCGGCGGCCTCCTGAGCCAGGCGGGGAATCTCTGCTGCTGGGTGCTCTGCTTCTGATTCCCCACAGGACCTGACTGACACAGGGGGTGCAGGAGAGGAAGTAAGGGCCGGGGGAAGATCCTCCCAGCCTGACGCCATGTCACTAGCTGGTGTTTCATTCAGATCATCTAAGAGACAGCTGGAGGCTGGGCGTGGTGGTGCACACGTCATCCCAGCACTCTGGAGGCTGAGGCAGGAGGCTGTCTTTGAGTTTGAGGCCAGCTTGAGCTACATAGTGAGTGAGACCCTGTGCAAAAAAAGAAAGGAAGGGAGAAATAAAAGAAATGAAAAAAAAGAAAGCATTACAAGCTGAAAATACAGAATCTATTAAAAAAATCAAAAGTAGTTGCCTTTGCTCAGCTGCATGGAGGGGATGTGGGTGGTGGTTTTCATTCTGGGCCTTTTTCATTCTAGGGTTTCAAAATCTATATCCAGGCATTACTTTAGGGAAAATCATGTTAAAGAAATCTTCTTTTCAGGATCCAGGATTTCACGCATGTTAGTCTACATCCCCAAGCCCCTTCAAATTTTTATTTCGTGAAGGTAATTAAAGTATGGCGTTAGGGATGCAGCACAAGGCCTTGCATTTGCTAAGCAAGTGCTGTTCGAGAGCTGCACCCGTAGGCCCTAAATACTTTCTGTTTTGTTTTGGTTTGGTTTGTTTTGGTTTTTTTGAGATAGGGTCTTTTTACACAGTTCAGCTGGCCTTGCACTCACAGCGATCCTCCTGCCTCAGCCTTCCGAGTCCTGGGACCACAGGCGTGCACCACCATGCTGGCTCAGTCCCTCAATTTTAAAATCAGATGTCTTTCTTTGCTGAAAGAAACTGTCAGTGAGTCCTTGATTGATCAATATTGCATGTCTCTATCTAGTTTCATGAGAAACCACTTTGAAGATATCAATATGTAATACAACAAGCACTGTTAATTTCCTACCACTTTGTAACTGTATTGTCTGTACTGTTCTTTTGCAATTTTGTAAAAGGTTGTCTGTCTGTTAATGTTTTTCTCCTTTTATTTTTAAAATTTTAAAAAAAATATCTTGCATTAGTTCAGTAGGGCCGTGGAAGGGTAATAAAATACTCGCTAAGCTAGGGAGTTGGTGTTTGCAGTCAGTGGGAGGTGATGGTGTATGATCAGGTGGACGGCGGGAAGCGGGGCGTTTACGGGGGAGATAACGCCGTCGCTGTGTCAGTAACTGAGACCGCTGAGCAGCGCGCCCCGTGTCCGTGCGTGGGGCAGCGTGTGGGTCGCTGATCTGCGCTGGCTTAGGATCTCAGGGCCTGAGGAGGCCAATCCGGCGGCGGTCACAGCAAGTGTGTGGCTGTCCTGGGCTGGACACCAGTGCCCGCCCTGCCATGCCTCCTGTGGGCTGGAGGAGGCTGTGTCCCACAGCACAGGCAACAGTGCAGAAGAGAGCAAGGGCACGAAGTCACTTCAGTTGGCGAGAGGCTGGGTCTCCCGTGTAGCCGCACTGAGCTGGCAGGACATGTAAGAAGTGGGGCTTCAAGCTGGGGTGGTGGTGCACACCTGTGATCCCAGCCTTTGGGAGGCTGAGGCAGGAGGATCCCCGAGAATTTAGGGCCAGCCTAAACAACATAGTGAGACCTTGTCTCAAAAAAACAAAACAAATAAAAAGCAGGGCCTGGTGGGAGGTAATGAGATTCCTGGGGTTCTTGGGGTGGGTTCTCAAGAGAGCAGGTTTTTCTAAAGAGGGGGCCACACGGTGCTGGCCTTGAACTTGCTGTGATCCTCCTGCCTCAGCCTCCTGCATGCTGGGATTACAGATGTGTACTGCCATAGTCGGCTGCTTCTGTCACATTCTTCTGGGCAAAGCAAGTAGATCCCCACTGCCTTTGTCCCCGGAGCTATACTTCCACACTGATGAGGAGGCATTTCTGTATTTGTCCGGCACAAATCATTTTCCGTCAGATGTGTTTACCCATCTGGTTTTGATGAGAATCGGGAGGGTCTCAAACAGCCTGTAACCCATTTCCATTCTTCGTCCCGTGTAGATGAGAGGGGAGGCATCAGAGTTGCCAGCGTAGATCAGCAACTTCCGGTGCTCAGCGTGCTCAGCATGGAGAAACCAGAGAGGACGGAAGTGGTTCTCCTGGCGTGTGGCTCCTTTAACCCCATCACCAACATGCACCTCAGGCTGTTCGAGCTGGCGCGGGACTACATGAACTCCACAGGTAGCGCGGCCGCCGGAGGCAGCGAGGGCTTGGCGGGGCCCCCGCAGTATACACGTGTAACCACCTGGGCACACTGACTTAGCCCAAAAGGAGGGCAGGTTGTGTCCAGGGAAGATTTGGGGCACCCGGTTCTGGGTCTACACAATTAAAAATTCAGATTTGGGTATTTAGAGCCTCATAGAAGGATCAGTAATGATTTTCCAATTCAAAACCATGCCAGGCATGGTAACGCATGCCTGTAATCTCAGCACTTGGGAGGCTGAGGCAGGAGGATGGCCAGGAGTTTGAGGGCAGCCTGGGCTACATAGCAAGACCCTGTCTCACAAAAACAAAAAAGACTCAAGATTTTTTTTCCTTCTGAAACAAGGAAACCATGAACCTTGCCTTCATTGCTTTTACATGAAAATGCATCATCCTGGATCACTTAGAGACCAGGTTTCCGTCTGAGCAGGTCAGTAAGTAACACTGTTTCCTCCTCGGTCATCTTGACTCAGTGAGGCCAGAGGGGAGAGAGTAGCCGGAAGGATGGAGGAAGCAAGCCTTGGTGGGGGTCTGCAGCCTCTTGAGACAGCTCTGGCTTCTAGCTCCTCCCTCCCCACCGGCCTGGCACCCACCCTAGTCCAGAGTGGTTTTTCTGTCCTTTTTTTTGGTCTTTTTGAGACAGGGTTTCGCTATGCAGTTCAGCCTGGCCTTGAGCTCACTTTGTAGCCCAGGCCGAAACAATCCTCCTGCCTCAGCCTCCCAGTGCTGGGAGTGAGTGCCAGAATTACAGGCATGCGCCACCATGTCTGGACTGTTTTTTACAAAGATAATAGGATGCAGGAGATGAATCTTCTGCAAAAGATAAGGGGCCCCAGGGATGGTGGGAGAGGCGGGGAGGGAGGAGGAGATGACAAACACCATGTTGTATGCTGTTGCCTGTACCAGCTCCTCATGCGCCATGCGATCTTTCTGTTTTATGATTTTTTTTTTTTTAGACAGGATCATACTATGTAGCTCATCCTGGCCTTGAACTTACCATATAACCCAGGCTGGCCTTGAATTTGTGACAGTCCTCCTGCCTCAGCCTCCCAAACGCTGTGATTACAGGCTTGTGCCACCACGTCTGGCACTAGGGCATCATCCTAGAATATGATTTCTTTACAGTGCTGGGGATTGAACCCAAGGCTTTGTGCTGAGCGACATCTCCTGCCCTGTGATGTAATCATTTTATACAACAAGCCTGTACTAATAAAAATTAAAATTTAAGCCAGATGTGGTGGCACACACCTGTAATCCCAGCACTCCAGAAGCTAGGGCAGGAGGATCACAGTGACTTCAAGGCTAGCCTGAGCTACATAGTGAGACCTTGTCTCAAAAAATCCAAAGATAGAGAAGAATCTGTGATTATACAGTATTATTGATCATAATATTTCCTGCGTATAAAAAGTAATTTGTTTATGTATCTTTTTTGGATTTTTGAGAGAGGGTCTCACTGTGTAGTTCAGGCTGGCCTTGAACTTACTATGTGTGTAGCCCAGGATGACCTTGAACTCATGGAGATCCTTCTGCCTCAGCCTCCTGAGTGTTGGGATTACAAGTGTATCACCCTGCTCGGTGGTAAAACCTAAGTCTTTTTTGTTTTGTTTTGTTTTTAGTTTTTTTCTGGTACCGGGAATCGAACTCACGAGCTTGCGTTTGCCGGGCAGGCGCTTTGCCGCTGAGCTAAATCCCCAGCCAAACCTAAGCCTTTTTGCAGGAAAATACAAAGTGGTCAAAGGCATCATTTCTCCCGTGGGCGACGCATATAAGAAGAAGGGACTCATCCCTGCACACCACCGGGTTATCATGGCGGAACTGGCCACCAAGACCTCTGGCTGGGTGGAGGTGGACACGTGGGAGAGCCTGCAGAAGGAGTGGGTGGAGACCGTGAAGGTGTTAAGGTACTTCCGGTTCCGGTTCTGCCTTTGCTGTCCCTTTGGCTGCCTAGGGAGAATGGGGTGGCCCGGGGCTGGCTTTGTGTGCTGCATCTTCGACAGCCAGTAGGGGGCGCTGGACCTCTTTGGTCTCAGTTTGGAGCTTCTCCGAGCTGGGCACTTACACTTCCAACTACTCTGGAAGCTCAGATAAGAGGGTGGCAAGTTCGAGGTCAGGGGTGAAGTGTCCTGACGTCACCTCACTTTGTCGCTGGGTCTCCCGACAGTGTGTTGGTGAGCGTTGTGAGAAGGAGGGCGCTGTGTTGTCTTGTTAGCTTGTTGTCTTTTATTCTTTGTGGTATTGGGGGTTGGACCCAGGGTCTTCACACCAAACTGCATCCCAGCCTGTTTCTGTCTTCTAAAGTCTGAGACAGGGTCTCATTAAGTCGCTGAGTTGCCCAAGTTGAGCTCAACTTGGTGATCCTCCTGCCTCAGCCTCCTAAAATGCTGGGCTCTCAGGTGTGTGCGAACACACCCAACTGGGTTTGTCGTTTTCTAGACACCATCAGGAGAAGCTGGAGGCTCGCAGTTGTAACCAGCAGCAGAACTCCCCTGTGCTCGAGAAGCCTGGCCGGAAGCGGAAGTGGGCTGAACAGAGACAGAACTCCACGCAGAAGAAGCTGCTGGAGCCCAACACGAAAGGTGTGTATTTTCCAGGTTCAAGTTTCATACAACGATAGCACTTGCTGGTTTTACGAAAGTGGGCCAGGAGCATAAAAAGTATCTTGAGATGAGCTCTTTGGCAGTGGTTTTTAACTTCCGAGGTGTCCTGGATCTTTTGGGGGGAACCTGAAGCTGATAAAAATGGAACCCTCAAAAGCCGGGCGTGGTGGCGCACGCCTGTAATCCCAGCACTCAGGAGGCTGAGGCAGGAGGATCATTGCAAGTTTGAGACCAGCCTGGGCTGCAGAGTGAGCTCAAGGCCAGCCTGAACTGCATAGTAAGACTCTGTCTCAAAAAGACAAAAAAAAAAAAAAAAAAAGGAACCCTCTCCTGAAGAACACACTCACGCTGTGATTTTATTTACTTATTTTGGGGTTTTTGAGACTCACTGTGCAGTTGAGCCTGGGCTTCAACACTTGCAGTGACCCTCCTGCCTCAGCCTCCCGCGTGCTGTGTAAGGGGCTGAGCTCTGCTCTCTTCCTCCACCCAGGCGTGCCCCAGGTGAAGCTGCTGTGCGGGGCGGACCTGCTGGAGTCCTTCGGGGTGCCGAACCTGTGGAAGAGCGAGGACATTGCCCACATTGTGGCGGACCACGGGCTCATCTGTGTCACCCGGGCCGGCAGCGACGCCCAGAAGCTCATCTACGAGTCAGACGTGCTGTGGAGACACCGGCGCAACATCCACCTGGTGCACGAGTGGGTCCCCAACGACATCTCGTCCACCAGGATCCGCAGGGCGCTGCGCCGGGGCCAGAGCATCCGCTACCTGGTGCCGGACCTGGTGCAGGAGTACATTGAGGAGCACAGCCTCTACAGCGCCGAGAGTGAGGACCGGAACCTGGGGGCCACCCTGGCGCCCCTGCAGCGCAACGCCGCGGAGGCTCCTTCCTAGGGCCCTTGGGCCTAGACCGCTGCTCCTCAACCGCGGGAGACTGATAAAAGTCAGCAGAAAATGAAAATCTCATTAGGGTTTTTTTTCCTTTTTATCAGAGTTGCCAAGACGAATGTTTTTAAAGAATGTTGCCAGGCACAGTGGCCCACTCCTGTAATCTCATTGCTTGGGAGGCAGAGGCAGGAGCATCGTTGTGAGTTTGAGGCCAGCCTGGGCTACAAAGTGAGCTCAAGGTCAGCCTGAACCGCATAGCGAGACCCTGTCTCAAGACAAAAAGACAAAAAAAACAAATGTACATCTGGGTGCAGTACCAGCTCTGTGGGAAGTTGCAAGAGGATAACTTGAGCTCCTGAGCTGAAGACCAGCCTGGGCCACACAGCAAGACCTGGTATTCTTAAAGTGCCCTTTACCGGTTGTGCGTACCAGGCAGAAACCAGAAGACACCCTGGTTCCCTGGCACACAGCAGGTGGATACATCCCTGGGGATTGAACACTGAGCTACACCCCCCAGATCTTTTATTTTTAGCTTTTTAATGTTATTTTTTGATTGGATACAGGGTCACACTAAGTTGCTCAGGCTGGGCTCAAATTTGCAATCCTCCTGCCTCAGCCTCCCAGAGTGCTGGGTTTACAGGCGTGCACCACCACACCTAGGTAGTGCTTTATAGGATATAGACCAGGGAGGCAGCTTGTTATGATTCATGAAAATTATTCTGTGATAGAAACAGGGTTAAAATTAAATTGCTATTGAAAATGGAATCATTTACTCTTTTGCAATTTATGTTTTATAACTACACCACACCAGGTAAAGGGTTTACAATTGTGCAGAAGAAAGAACTACCTATAGTGGCGGAATTGTTTGATCGGACTTGGATCCACAGCTGGAAAAGGAAAGTGTTAAATGAAGCTGGCATATGCATCCTGTCTGTCTTCCATCCTCTTTGTTGGTGTTGTCATCTTTTTGGGACAGGATCTGGCGATGCAGTTCAGGCTGGCCTTGAGCTCACTTGTAGCCCAGCCTGGTCTCAAACTCGCAGCAGTCCTGCCTCAGCCTCCTGAGTGCTGGGATTACAGGCGTGCGCCACCACGCTTGGCTTCAGCCTGTTCTTATAAAGCTGTGGAGGACTGGTTTCAGGCCGCACCCCGAGGCTTCAACAGCATGTTATGAACAATGAAGGTTAAGATCTGAGATCATGGAGAGGCGGGGCTCATTTTTCCTCTCCTGCACTTTTTGGAGCTTTATTTGGGGAGGCGTTGTTTTGTTTGTTTTGAGACAGTGTCTGGCTATGTAGCCCATGCGGTCCTTGAACTCCAGAGGATCTCCTGCCTCAGCCTCCCAAGTGGTGCAGTTGGAGGCCTGCGCCAGCACCACACCCAGCCTAGCTTGGTGGAGTTGAAGGGCTGAAGCAGGACTGGAGAATAAAGATTAGGAGCAGGGGGCTGTGGTCCTGTGAGTTCTCCTGCCAGAGCACCGGAAGCGGTCACCAGAAGTGCTGTGGACCACAGAAACTGGCCGCACACCCAGCCGGTCCCCTACCCTTCACCCTCCTCAGGGCCACTGGGGAGGCAGACGCTCCCGGAGACCTGTTGTCCCCGGAGAAGCCCCACTGTTCGGCTCTTTCCCGTCGGCACCTTGTACCCTAAGCCCGGCTCCGGGTCCCGGTTCCCAGGGTGCTGTGTGTGCGGCAGGGTCACAGCCTGGCTTGGGTGACGCCGAGGACAGTTTCCCCTGCGGGTCACAGAAAGGAGAACGGTGACCTGCGCGGGGGTGAACGCTGCTGCCTGTGATGACTCCCATACGGGAGAAGGTCGTGCCGTGGTTTGTTCTCATCGCCTCTTTCATAACTTGCCTTTGCAGAGTGACTTTAGCACTTGTGAAATGTCAGGGACTGGTGCATCCGTGCGTTTGTCTAACTCTGGGGATTTCTGTGTTGAACACTTCACCCCTTACATGGTATAATTTGCGTGCAGCAAGTGAAGTGGGCAATGAAAGTCCAGGGCTGGCACATTGTCTACAAGAACAGGTGGCACGCACTGGGCGTGGTGGTGTGCACCTGTGATCCTAGCACTCAGGAGGCTGAGGCAGGAGGATCGCTGCAAGTTCTAGGGCAGCCTGAACTACATTGTGAAACCTTGTCTCACAAAATAAAAGGTCACTGCAGGAGGCCCACGCTCCCACCATGGCAGAACTGTCCCAGGGCCTTGATCACGGCACCTGCTCAGCCGTGAGGATGCGCAGACCGTCCGGCCTGCCTTCTGCCCGGTGTGGCCCGATAAAGCCACTACCAACGAGCGTGGACAGCGGGCCGGGCTGGAGCTCCCGAGGGCCCCGAGCGCTGAGGAAGGGTCGCACAACTCGGGGACAGTTAGAAACAGGAGACCGGGCCATGGTTTCAGCGTTGCCGGCTTCAGAGCCAGAACCCTTGTCGTCGGCTGAAGACTCTGGCAAGATCGAAAGCGGACGAGTCCGGGCATTCTCACCGCCCCCGGCGGGATGCACTGAAGCGTCTCACGGGGTGAAGCGGCTGAGGGCTGAAGCGCGCAGCCCCCGCCTCGGGGCGGAGCTCAGCTTGGCCAAGGCGGTGCCTCAGAGCGGGGCGGTAATTTAGTCATTTCATGGTCGGAGGGAGATGGTGACTGAGCCGCGGTGCATGTGGTCATTCTTTTTCGGGGTGCTGGGGGGTCGAGCCAGACTCTTCCCCATGCCAGGCAAGCGCCGTGACGCTGAGCTACATCTCCAAGAACTCCTGCCGGCATCCTTTGCTGAGATTCCACAGGTGTAATTTTGCCTACAAATGCCCTGGGAATACAGCTCAGTGGCACAGCACCTGCCTGGCAAGCGCAAGGTCCTGAGTTCAATTCCCAGTACAAATTCCCTGCGGTGAGACGGCCGGAGTTGCCCTTTTAGGTGAAAGCGATTGTGCAGAGAGCAGTGGGAACACCTGTAATCCCAGGTACTCGGGAGGCTAAGGCAGGAGGATCAAGAGTTCCAGGACAGCCTGAGGAATTTATGACTCTGTCTCATATTAAAACCGTTTCATCCCTAAATCCAATTCCTGGCAAAGGAGGGCTGGCCTTGAACTCACAGCCATCCTCCTGCCTCAGCCTCCCGAGGGCTGGGATTACAGGTGGGTGCCACCTCACCTGGTTCTGCTTTTCATCTTTAAGAGCTTTCTGGTGTTGGGCGTGGTGGTGTGCACCTGTGATCCCAGCACTTGGGAAGCTGAGGCAGGGGGATCACTGAGTATTCGAGGCCAGCCTGGTTTACATAGGAAACCCTGCACCACCACCCTGGAAAAGCAAAAAACAAAAAAACACCATAATAAAAGTTGGCTGTCCCAGCACTCCGGAGGCTGGGGCAGGAGGATCGTTGCAAGTTCGAAACCAGCCTGCACTACAGTGTCAGCTCAAGGCCAGCCTGAACTGCATAGTGAGACCCTGTCTCAAAAAGACCAAAAAAAAAAAAAAAAAAAAAGTTGGCTGGTGGGGGTTGGGGGTTGTAGGGGTGCGGCTGAGTGATAGCGCATGTGTGGGTCCACCCTAAAAAGTCACTAATTCACTCACTAATGTGCACTTTGGGCGAGATTCGCCGGGAACAGCTCTCCGGTGGGATTAGCTGAAGCGGAGTTAGGTGGCGGCACGAGGCGCCCCTTCCAAACTGCCAGGCTCAGGAGCCCAGCAGATCCCTGCTGTGCGTGTGTCGGCTGTGAGCCCGGCCCAAGTCGCCAGGAGGGGGCGCACTCAGCTGCTGGGACCTTCGCCCCGCAGGGGGCGCTGGCTTCACACATCCGAGTGTCAGGCCCGGGAGATCCGCAAGCAGAGAGCTGGGCAGTGGCAGAGCCCAGCCTAGCATGCAAGATGCCCTGGGAGAAGCCCAGCAGCCGCGAAAAGACAGACAGGCCGGGCATGGTGGTGCAGGCCTGCAACCCCAGCACTCGGGAGGCTGAGGCAGGACGATTGCTGCGAGTTCCAGGCCAGCCTGAAGTATACAGCAAGACCTTGTTTCAGAAAACCAAGAGGAAAAAGACCACCTCCCTGGGCTGTGGTTTGCACGCCCTGCTCCCCCTGAGGAAGTTCTTCCTGTGCAGGTCCGATCCTCTGCGGATACTTTATGAAGCACACTTTACGACTGAACTAGTTTGGAAAGCCATTCAGAAATGATTGAGTAGCGCAAGAGAAAGTGAAATATGCAAGGGTTACTTGCCATGCCGAGGTGCAAGGGGCCCTGCTCGAGGTGAGCGCAGGTGGCGGGGAGAAGGAAGCATTGGGATCGAGCTGAGGCCGAGGGTCCCTGAGTGCCTTCGTGGGCCTGGGACCCGGAGGGCAAGCAGCAGAAAGGGAGCTGGGCGCCCTATAGGTCATTCTGACCCGGAGAAGTGGATTCTAGGGAACCTATTTCTAGATCAGAGCAAAAGCAGTAATTCGTTACGAATAGGTGCAATGAAGAAGTTCTCGGATTGTTTGCTAATTCAAGTAATAAAAGACAATGAAGCAAAACATTCAACTTACGGTTAATTTACATAAAATACTGACGCAGACGGGCTGAATATACACCATAACACACCGCGGTGACAGCAAAGCCAAAATGGTTCTTGCGTGTCTGATTCAGCGTGTTAATTAGAGCATAAGAAAAGTAGAACCCTGCATGAAGGCACATGCCTGTAATCTCAGCACTTGGGAGGCTGAGGCAGGAGGATCACTGTGAGTTCAAGGCCAGCCTACATAGCAGAAACCCTGTCTCAAAAACAGACAATAGATAAATACAAGAGAAAGCAAAGAATATCCTTAGAGAAATGCATAATAGTTCTTTTTTTGTACCGAGAGTTGAATTCATGACCTTGTGCTTTGCAGGCAGGCACTGTGCCGCTGAGCTATAGCCCCAGCTACTTAGAGAAACAGATGAGAGTTTAAAACTCCCTTTGGTTGTTTATTCTGCTACTTTACAATGGGTTCTTATTTTGAAGAACCCAGGCACTATCTCTGTGATGGTTCAGTTGCAGAGAAATGTACCAGCACATCCTGTAGAGATGTGCTTTTCCAAATCTGGTGTTTCTACACAATGGAGTACTACTCTGCCCTAAAGAAAGATATACCTGAGTCATTTGTAGGAAAATGGATGCTCTTTGGAAC